CCAGGTCAACAAAGATTGTTTGTCCTAGGAATATAAAATCTTCAAGGCCCAAAACTCTCTTATTTATTTCTGCCCTTGTGATGAACAATAATGCCTGGCATATAGTAAGTACTCAGTAAAAGCTTGTGAATGAGTGAAAGAATCACCAAAAATATTCCTCTTGGCAGAAACCACAGCAAGGCATGTGGGTACCCCAGGCAGGCTAATTTATTTAGTAGAGAACAAGGAAAAATGTTTTCTTATTCATTTAAAAGAAAGCCAAAATGATTAATGTACTACTCCACTTTCATTAACTAAGGCAACTTCAATGAAAAGAAAATTCAGGAGAAAAACATCTTCCATTCTTCTGAACTTCTCATGGTCTCTGAATTTTGTGTAATTTTTTTCCAAACCAGACAAAATCTTGAGTGACATACTGAGTTTTAATTTAGTGGCATAGACTGCACTGTGCTGTGCATTCTTGTCAGAATTTTGACTATAGCTCTGTGAACTTGTTGCAAAAAATGACAGTAGTCAATGCTAAGATTATCTTTTTATTGTGATAAAAAATATAACAAAATGTACCATATAAACCATTTTAAATGTGTGGTTTACTAATGTTAAGTATTCAGGAGGTGCCAAAAAATGTATACACCTTTTAAGTATGACAGTCACTCAAAAGATGATGTTAATCAAATGAATGTTAGCGTTACCATGTGACAGGCAGGACAGTCAAAGAAAGTGGTGGAAGCACTTGCCTGAATGTTATACCACACATTGCTACTGTAATTTAATTCAACTTTGAAAAGTGATACATAGATAACGTCTCTTAACATATACATACATTATTTTGGCACCCCGTATTTACATTGTTGTACAACAGATCTCTAGAACTCTTTTCATCTTCAGAACTGAAACTCTGTGCCCATTAAACAACTCCCCGTTCCTGCCTCCCTCTAGATCCTGGCAACCACCATCCCATTTCTATAAACTTGACTACTTTAGATACCTCATATAAGTGGAATCATACAATATTGTCTCTTTATGACTGGCTTATGCCACCAAACATCATGTCCTCAAGGTTTATCTGTGTTGTAGCATTTGACAGAATTTCCTTCCTTTTTAAGACTGTTAAATTGTTCATTGTATGGCTATACCACATTTTTTTAATCCATTTATCAGTTAATTAACATTTGGGCTGCTTCCACCTTTTGACTTTTGTGAATAATACTGCTGTGAACATGAAGGTTGTACAACTCTTTCTTTGAGACTGCTTTCAAGTCTTTTGAGTATATATTAGTGCTCCATAGGGAGATTGCTGGATCATATGGTAATTCTATTTTAAAGGTGGTGAGGAAGAATTTTTTCATGCTGCATGCTGTTTTCCATAAAGGCTACACTATTTTATAGTCTCACCAACAGTACACAATGGTTCCATTTTCTCCATATCCTTGTCAACACTTTTTAAAAAAAGTAGTGGCTGTTATTATAATTGTGAGGTGATATCTCATAGTGGTTTTGATTTGATTTTCATTTCCCTGATGATTAGCGATCTTGAGAATCCTTTCCTGTGCATGCTGACCAATTGTATATTTTATTTGGAGGAGTGACTATTTAAGTTCTTTGCCCATTTTTAATTGGGTTATTTGGTTTTTTGTTGTTGTTGATTTGTAAGAGTTTTAAAAAATATATTCTGGTTAATAACCTCGTGTGAGATATATCATTTGCAGATAGATTCTCCCATTCTATAGGTTGCCTTTTCACTCTTTTGGTTGTGTCCTTTGTTGCGTAAACAGTTTTAAAGTTTGGTGTAGTCTTATTTGTCTATTTTTAAAAATTTTGTTGCCTATGGTTTTGGTATCATATCCAGAAATAGGTGCCAAGCCCAACATCTTAAAGCTTTCCTTTATGTTCTTTCCTAGGAGTTTTATAGTTTTGGGTTCTATGTTTAGGTTTTTAATCCATTTGGGGTTGATTTCTGCATATGGTACAAGAGAAGAATTCACCTTCATTATTCTGCATGTGGATATCCAGTTTTTCCAGCATCATTTGTTAAAGAGAGTATCCTTTCCCCATTGAGTAGTTTTGGCACCTATATTGAGGATCACTTGATCATATACATGAGGGCTTATTTCTGGATTCTCTATTCTGTTGATCTATTTGTCTCTCTTTATGCCAGTGCCACACTGTTTGAAGACTGTAAAATATATGTGACTTTGTAACACTATGAAATTATGAAGTGCACATTCTCCAACTTTGTTCTTTTTTTCAGAATCATTTTGGCTATTTGGGGTTCCTTGAGAATGCAGAAGAATTTTAGAATGAATTTTTCTATTTCTGCAAAAAAAAAATGCATTGGGGTTTTGATAAGGATTGCGCTGAGTCTATAAGTTGCTTTGGGTAGAATGGACATCTTAATATTAAGTCTTCCAATTCATGAACACAGGTGTCTTACCACTTGCAACTTATTTGTGTCTTATTTAATTTTTTTCAGCAGTATTTTGTAGTTTTCAGTATAGGATTGTTATTTTAACTCCCACTTGAGAGTGCTGGCTTGATGAAAGCATGACAAATTTACGTGCTTCTAGCTTGGTAAGAGGTTGTATCTTGAAACTTGACTTCCACTGTGAGTCTGATTTTCCCAAAGATGTTTTAGCTTCTTAGAGCTCCCTGTGAAAGTATACATCAGAATGCCCTACATTTAATCTCTGACCCATGGAGTTTTTTCCCCTAGACCCAGTGCTCTGCGGAAAGCAGGATTTCTTGTAACTGGTATTATATTTCTGGAGAGGAGGCTGTGGCCGCTGATGCAAACCTGACTGCTCTTGACTAGACTCAGGTTGTTGAGTATTTGGTCCTCGTACATGCCAAGCAGTGAAGGCCTTACATGTCTCTGCACTGGAAGATGAGAGCTCTAGTACTCTTAGAAGGCAGGAGACTGTCTTTCCTGATCCCTGTATGCATAAAGAGGGTTGTGTGTGGATAGACAAATAAGTTCCCAGAGCTGGGGCCAAGAGTATCAAGGGGAATGGGCTCTGGGTGTTTCTCTTTGGTCCCATTTCAGCCATAGTATGCATAGTACCATGACCTGAGCCAACATGGACATTTTGGCCTTGGAAGACCATAAGAAGGCCTGTCAGGAGCGCTAGCATTTCTAGGTCACCTCTTGCTATTCAAAGAGGCTGTGTTAAATAAGCATGTTGAGAAATTTTGCCTGTTACTTACTTTTATTTAATCATCAAACTTTGCAATTCCTTAGAGATGTTGTAAGGAAGAACATAGGTAATCCCCAACTTACTGAAAACTTATTTATTTACTCTTTGAAACTGTTGTTTTAGGAAAATGTCAGTCTGGTGCAGTGACTGCATGTCTCTTGAACCTCAGACAAGCAGGTGTGGTCTGTGTCTTAATGTTTCAGCTGGCTGACTTTAGGGCATTTCTTACACTGGATTGGCACAGGGGAGGAAGTGTCGTGTCTTGAGGCAGTCATTCCAGTGAAAGCTCTCTGGGTCCAAGTTGGCTGGGCCTTTCTTGGTATGGGACTTTCCTCCAGTGTCAGTGCCAGAGCCACTTCTTTTCTAGAATGTCTCTGGTAGACTCCTGAAACTTTGGACCTGGGAACATCCCTTTTGTGGCCCTTTTACCTCCTGCTCCAAGTTCCCCAGTCTTGGGTAACAAAGACAGCGGAGGCAGGCAAGGAAAGGCATCATCCCAGAATAACTTACAAGAGACTTGGATCTCAGTTGTGATGCGTTTTCAGTCCCTCTGATCCCATCTTCCAGAGTGATAAGGGTGCATGGAGATGGATACATGACCTGCAGATAAAGCATTTCCGCTTTTGTTACTCTACTTGAGGACTCTCTTGATATGCCTAGAAAGATGCTTGACTTCCAGGAGACAAAGCCCAGAAAACTGCCATGTTCATATCGCAAAAAGATTGATTGACTAGGATCTTCATAGTGCAAAAAGATTGTCTAATGTGAAAGCAAAATATGTGTTGGGCAACAACAGCATCAACTACAATAACTGTTGCCACTACTAACATTTCTTTTGGGTCTAATGGTTTATAAAGTGCTTTGTCATGGGTGTTATTGGATTTGATTCATCTATCAGTCCCATGCAATATTATTGCTGTGGTATCAGTTTTAGAGATTAGAAAAACCAAAGTGCACAGTGTAGTTTGACTTCCCCAAGGTCATTAAGTTGCTAAATCAGAGCCTGGTTCTGAATGCTGATTTCGGACTCTAAATTACAAGATCTTTCCAAGGCACATGAGTTTCCACTGTGGTATTCACTGCCAGGGATGCACAGAAAGAGTATATCATTTTTTTTACCACTTATAAAATCAACACTAGACTCAAAAATCAAGCTGTGATAAGGTGTGGCAATGTGTGGCGTATTAGAAAATTAGATCTAGAAATCTGTATGGGCTGGAAGGTCATAGAAGAGGTTTCCTGAAAGAGGTGGAACTTGGATTGACCCTTAAAGAATGGTTTAAATATAGGGAGATAGAAGACAGGAGTATCCAGAGAGAGCTCAGAGGCGGAAATGCACACAATGTGTGCTGAGGACACAGAGGTATCCTGATGACTTAACTACTGTTCTTACATTTTAGGAAAATTGTCTCCCAGGGTCAGGCTGTCTTTCATTCAAATATAGGCAGCTCAGATTTTCTCAGCTGCCAGGATACAAAATTGCAATTTGTCTCTTTTTGATGAAAGAAAGACTCAAATGTCACTATTTTGCCTCACACAAAGAGCCCTTGGAGAGAAGGGACAGTGTACAAGGACACGATGCTAATGGGTATCTTGCTTTCCTTCAGAATGATTACATAGCACCAGTGAGGGTGACTCTTTATTCCTCTGGAGTGACTTTTGGTTTCCTTGAAGTAGCCTTCACTGTGACGTGGTTAAACGGACTTAAACATGCAAGCTATGAGTATGATGAAAGGGAATTTCTGGTGGAAGTTCACAAAGTGTTGCTAGATTGCCTAAAAATCCCTTTGTGTTTTCTGGTGACAGGTCTGTGACTCCTATCCTACTGAACTGTATGCTCCCAAGTCTGCCACGGCACACATCATAGTGGGGAGTTCCAAATTCCGGAGTAGACGGCGATTTCCTGCCCTTTCTTACTACTATAAAGATAACCATGTAAGTCTCAAGGCATGCTTTTGTTTTACACTTTACTTTTTTTTGTTTTATCAGAAGCAGGAATTTTCTAGCTGCCTTCTGCTCTCTCTCTCTCTCTCTCTCTCTCTCTCTCTCTCTCTCTCTCTCTCTCTCTCTGTCTCTCTCTTTCTGTATGTGTGCGTGTATGTTTGAATTCTTCTAAAGGCATGTTAATATTCCCGTGTATGGTAAAACACAATACAACTATGCTTAAATCCTTATCTTGTGTAGGTGTTGGCCTTCCATGTTTATTTGACAATAAAGTAATGATTCAGAAAAAAAATTCAATAGATTCAGAAAATATTTTAGTTTAATCATCCAAGTGAATTCTGTCCTCTTGTAAGTGGTCACCTTGGGAGGCTCTGTGCCTATTCACAGTGCTGACCTTTCTTCGGCATGCCTATTTTAGAAAGCCCCTGAGGCCCCTGGCACTTTCTTTTTCTTTTTATATGCATTTTAATGGCATGTTCTTTGGGTATCCTCTGTATAAGAAATCTTATGGGGAGAGTGGATTTTATTTTTAAAATATTGCTCATAAAAGCTACAATTGGATCTGTCTGTAACTAACAGAAACCTAAGTAACAGTGGCTTCAACAGGATAGACCTTTATTTTCTCTCACACAAAACTCCAAAGGCAGTCAAGGCCTGATATCCTTGCTCTATCCCACTCAGCCCTCAGGGACCGCAGCTCCTTCCACCTTTCTGCTTTGCCACCCCTTGGGTTTGGCCCTCATCTGCCTGGTGCAAGAGCTGACTTTAGTACCAGTCACCACCTCCACACTCCAGGCAACAGTGACAAGAGAGCTAATGGTGTGCGCCCACTGAGGAAGCCTTCCCCAAACCGCCACGTGACACTTATGCTCACGTTCTATTTGTCAGAACTGCACAGGGCAGGTGAGAAAATAGTCTTGACACAACCATGTAAACAATTGAAACGTGGAGTTCCATTTCTGCAGAGGACAGGCAAACAAACTTGGAAGATCAAGAATGGTCTTTGGGCCGGGCTCGGTGGCTCAGCCTATAATCCTGTGCTTTGGGAGGCCGAGGTGAGTGAATTGCCTGAGCCCGCGGGTTTGAGACCCGTCTGGACAACTTGGCGAGACCTCATCTCTACAATAAATCAAAAAATTAGCTGGGCGTGGTAGCACACGCCTGTAGTTCCAGCTACTTGGAAGGCTAAGGCGGATGGATCTCCAGAGCCCAGCAGGTCGAGGCTGCGGTGGCCGGGAGCGGCCACTGCACTCCAGTCTATGCGACAGAGTGAGACTCTGACTCAAAAAAAAAAAAGAATGGTCTTTGCCATCCACTTTAAAAGTGATTTGGCTCCAGCCAGGTGATAGAGAAAGTTTATTTTTTAAACTAGATAATAATTTAGTTGTGGGTTCAAACGCAGATGACGTTATAAATAATTGAGAGAGGTGTGTGTGTGTGTGTGTTTGTGAGTCTCTGTGTGTGTGTGCACATGCACCTGTTGCCAGAGGATAGAGCAGGGGATCTGAATCAGATTCTAAAGGAGCCTTCCAAAATTAATTTGAGCAATGCCAGCCTCACCAGAGTGAGCACATAACCTTCTCTGTTGCCCACTTTGAAGGCAAATTTTCTCTAGTGGTGTAAGTTCTATTAATTGGAAGGATATACTCTTTGCTCTTAGTCTTTTCTTAGCCCTGAATTGGGAGTCTAAAGAAAGAATTTTATTAATATCCTGTATTATTTAACTCCAAATATATTTCAGCCTATACAGAACTAGAGCAGTGGTTAGAGGCAAAGGAAGTTATGAATCTCCTTTAAAAAGAAAAAACTTAAATGAATAGGGATAGAGAATTTTATGATGTTGTACTTAAAATTAGGTTGCTAGTAACATTCTCATTTTTTTGTTGCATCCATTGATAAGGAAGTAAGAGGAGAAAAATTCAAGAAAGGGGGAGAGGATCTTTTTTTATTGTTTCGGAGGTGGGGCGGGCAGGGTATTTAAGAAGTGAGCACAGTACCTGGCCTATCTCTTTTGGATATTCTTGAGGGAAGAGAACCTCTGTGGGTGTCAATGTGAGTATTGTAAGTGAGTGAGTGTTGTACGTGAGTGAGCAAGTGTGTAATGTCTCAGAAAGGACCTCAGAGACCTGCTTTTTCCCCTGGTCACCTCAGACTCTCGTGGCTCCACTCCTGCTCCCATGTGCTGTTCTTTACTTGACCTCTAGGCCTGAAAATTAGCTCACACAGCGATTCATTTTAGTTAAAAGAATTTACCTCCTGCATTTAAGATTTTAAAGCAGAAAAGCACTTCAAGTTTTAGCTCTTCTTACAAGGTATGAAACAGAGGCATGCTTCTAAGCATTGCTACGTGATCTGTTTACCCCAGGAGATCCTTACTGTGCATGCTCCACTCTCCCAGCCCCATAGACTGAAATCTATCCTACATGTAGATCAAATTTGTGTTTTGTAACAGTGTTTAGATTTTAATACCAAGATTGATGTGTAACTGCTTCTGAATTTCCCTGGTTACATGGAAGACACTGAAATACCAAAGTAGTTTTCTGTGCTGTCATTACTCTCACACCTACATATATAAAATGGGTGGTCTTCCAGAAAAAGTAAACAGGTACAAATTCCATAAATGTTACAGGTCTTTCTTCCTTTTGGTGATTTTAGACATTTTAGGCTTAAGAGTATGTATTCCGGACAGGCTTGGTGTCTCAGCTTGTCATCCCAGCACTTTGGGAGGCCCAGGCGAATGGATTACCTGAGGCTGCGGGTTCGAGACCAGCCCTGGCAACTTGGTGAGACCTCGTCCCTACAACAAAGAAGAAATTAGCCAGACTTGGGAGCATGTGCCTGTAGTTCCGCCTACTTGGAAGGCTGAGGCGGAAGGATCTCTAGAGCCCAGCAGGTCTACGCTGGGGTGGCCATGAGTGTACCACTGCACTCCAGCCTGGGTGACAGAGTGAGACTCCAAATCAAAAAAAAAAAAAAGAGTATGTATTCCTACACAATAGAACTTTTGCTTATGAATAAAAATATTGTATTTTATAGTTAAAATATTGTTCCCCACATATCATTATCAAAGGGACACTTTGATTTTGATGATAAGATGACTTGGCTAATTTTGGGCAGTGGGAATTGGTGACTGGAGTAACAGAAGCTTGAAATGCTCATCATTTTATGACCCTGAAGTCCTATTGAGGGTCCTTTGATATAAATAGCCCTGCTGATGGCATGTAATTCCTGTTAGGTCAGCCGTTACCACACGTGGTGTTATCGTCACATCCTGTGCATCCACTGGTGAGAGGAATTCTTGCCCTAGGTTATGGACATGGCTAAACACATACTTGACAGTGGACAGGTGAGATCAACAGCTATTTACTAGTCACATGTGCTCACTGCCCAGGGAAGGAAGACATCACATACCATGAAAGGTCACATGAGGTTGCACTGGGGAACAGAGTGACAATCATAGTCTGAAAGAGGCAGGCTTTGTAGTATTATGAGCACGAGGTTGGCCCGGGCATGGTAGCTCAAGCCTGTAATCCCAGCACTTTGGGAGACTGAGGTGAGGGGATTGTGTGAGCCTATGTTTTTGGGAACAGCCGGGGCAACTTGGCAAGACCTCATCTCGACAAAAAA